TGTATAGAACAAAAATGGTACAATCAATATTTGCCTTCAGAACATTTTGATACATGTTAGACAAGTGTTGAAATAAGTATAGATGTCATAAGAGAGCTACATATTACACAGAGAATTTAAAAGAAGTACTCCTCTCCTGTTAGTAAGGAGGATCATTTCGTTGGAAAATGAAAGCTGGAAGAAAGGTATTGCTACAGCTAAAGTTTAGACAAACCAGGAGCTGAGAAGAAATATTTCACAGCCAGAGATAGAAGGAAAAGGGTAAGTTTGTGAGGGACTCCACATAATACAGAGTGTAATCTAATTCTACAAGCATGAATAACTGATGCTATTGAAATAATGAATCATGTGATTGAGAAGAAGAAAGGATTTCTAGGAGTATACATCTTTTCATCCTGCATGTTAAGATACTTTGCTTTCCTTTCCCCTTTTGAGATTCCTATCCACAAACACATCTCTTTTTGATTTGTGCTGAACAGCTGAGTCTTTTCACAATCCTTTTTGAAAGTAACTTCTCTGCCTATAATGGACTTTCTTTTCTGTAACTACAATGGTGTCTTTCTTTAAGAAAATAATGGTTAGTCAGATACTTACTAGACTGAGTCCTGTTAGCAAAAGTCTTTCTTTCCTGAGAATCATTCTTGTTTAAAATAAGTGTAAGAGACGAGAATGGAAAATAAGAGCTCATGACTTGCATCTTTTTAGGTAGGATTGTTCCAGAATCTCGTTTTGAAAAACTATTACACTGGCTCAATTTTTTATATTGTGTGGTAGCACTTGTGACCAGTCTGGCCATGGGTCCACCAAGTCAGCAACTAGTTTAACTCAAGAATAGGTTAATATGAAGTGTTTCTGAGCATACAAGTTTGCAATGTCTTAGGTATAGATGCTCTATAAAAGCTGAGGATGGAGACCAATTGGTAAGGTCCTTAACATATAAAGAACTGTTACAAGTCAAACAGATAAAGACCAATGACCCAAAACAAAGGCTCTTGAACCTATGAAAAATTGAACAACTTCACTCATGGTAAAAAGAAATACAAAATGAAACTGCAAGATATAATTTTCACTAGTAATATTGGAAAAGCTTGGAATTTGCAAAAATACTGTGATGAAAACAAGATAAAGAAACAGGCATTATCATGCATTAATGCTGTCAGTGGGTAACCGGAAAAATGTCCATGGAGGACTATTTTTTAATAGCTTTCAACATGAAAAATGTATACTTTTTTGGCCAAATTCAAAACACTTGACCCTGGCATGGAATATATGAATGTATATATATATATACGTATGCATGCCTACACATACATATACACACAGGTTTTGTGTATGCATGTGTGTTTTTTATATATATTCTCCAATGTATGTGAAATGATGTGCACTAGAGCATTGTTTGTAATAGCTACATTATCAGAGGCTACTGAAATGTTCACCAATAGGGAGCTGGTTAAACAATACTGTGTGTCCTTGCAATGAATTTCTATACAGCCCTTATAAAGAATAAAAGTGGTATGGAGAGAGCACCAAAAGATACTGATAACTCAAGTAAAAAATAAGCAGAACGATGCATAAAATATGGCATCACTTAGTTTTTTTTTTTAGCTATATCTTCTATGTTTATATATCCATAACATATGTATGGGAAGAAAAAATAATACCTAACAACAATGGCTGCTTCCATGGAAGAGAATTGAGTAGATGGGGAGTAGGGAAACAAGAAAACATTCCTCATTGCTATTTTTTTAATATCTCTTAAATTTTTTAATTTTTTCATATATTACCTACTCAGGTATGAAAAATAAGCTTTAAAAATATAGATAATGATAAAACTAAAATACCTTATTTCTCACATCTCCAGGAACCGGTTGCTGTTTCTTCACACGTTGTGACCATCTCTAGTCTCCTTCCCGCCACTGCCTACAACTGCAGTGTCACCAGCTTTAGCCATGACAGCCCTAGCGTCCCCACATTCATAGCTGTCTCAACAATGGGTAATTATACACATTCATGGAATCTAGTCTTTGGAAGTTACCCTTTAGTGCTTTTTAAGTAAATAGTTGATACTGCAATAATGCAGGAGTTAGAGGCACTAACCCCTATTGCAGTAGAGAATCTACATATAACTTTTGACTCCCCCAAAACATACCTACTAATGGCCTACTGTTGACTGGAGGCCTTCCCACATTTTTGTGTGTTATATGTATTATATACTGTTCTCTTTACAATAAAGTAAACCAGAGAAAAGAAAATGTAAAGAGAAAATAGATTTACCATTCCTTAAGTGCAAGTGAATCATCATAAAGGTCTTCATCTTTGTCATCTGCAAGTTGAATATGCTGAGAAACAGGAGAAGGAAGAGGAGGAGGAGGGGTTAGGCTTGCTGTCTCGGAGGTGGCAGAAGTGGAAGGAAACCTGCATTTATGTGGACCTGCACAATTCAAACCCATGTTGTTCAAGGGTCAACTGTACTTCAGTGTACAGTTCAATTCCTGGTTATGTCCACAGCAGCCTGTGCTACAATTGATATTATTAAACTTATTTGCAAGTGAGGAAAATGAATCCCATAGGGTAAATAAAATGGCTTCTTCATATGACAGTTAACAGCCAATTGAACTTGATTAAGCCCTTCTGACCATGAGTCTATTGTTCTTTCTGGTCAAGTACTCTGCCTACCTGGCCCACCTGGCCCAAACAGCAAGTGGCAAATACCTAAGATCATAGGGATCATATGTGCTGGTCAGTTCTGTGATTTTTATGATGAGTTTAAGAGATGGCATCAGTCTTCTCTGGTCCACTTTGAAAAGTTTACAAAAGATACTTAACATATTCCTGCCTCTGTTATCCTGGCCTTCTATGTTAGTGTGAAGAAACAGATAATGTGTACATGCCATCATAGACCCCGTTATTATATAAACTTTACAAAAAGGACACAACCCCTGTTCCCAAGGGCCCTGCGACCTATTAATAGGTTTAATGTCTTGAGTCGTACAGATGGAAAACCTCTAAACATATGGCCACAGATCATCAGAATGCCTGCTTCTGGTAATGTGTTAAGTGCTATGGCAGATGGCAGCTTGCTAATGCCTTTTTCATATGCATTATTAGTTGTGAGCAAAGTATACATTTGTGCTTTCTGACTTTAACGTCATGGGCATACAATAAGAACCACACTCTAAAAGCTTTTGAAAATGTTAAACAATGATAATACATGGAAATGACATCTATATTTGTAATTTTCAAATGGATTTAAACTATGGCATAGGCATTCTTTGTTCTTTAGTTTCCCTTTATAAGAACATCCTGGATGTTGTAGGCTTTTGAAATGTTATAGGCTTGTTCTAGGCACCTGAATACCATTTATCAGCCTAGTTTATCAAGCTGTAGTTGACCAGGAAGAGGTCATTGTTGGCTTAGGGAAACATGGTTGTTACTGTTATTGTTATCACCATAAATTCACCACTCTTAAGATTCGATGTAAATCAATGAATGGTTCTTTTAGTTACCATATACCAGATCCTATAATAAAAATGTGTGAGGGAGGAGAGGGAGAGGAAGGAAGGGGATTGGTAGGCTCTCACCTAATGGGCATTAGGTTTTTTTATTTGTTTGCTTTCTTGTTTAGCAGGCCCTAGCTGGGTTTGAACCCACCACCCCTGGTGCACAGGACAGGCACTCTAACCATTGTGCTACCAGCGCCCAGCCCTCATGGGCATTATGTAAGGGTGGAGGGCTCAATTACAACTTGGACTTTAGCTAACAAATGTAAACAATGGAAACTAATTTTTATTACTCTCATATGAATCTAAATAAAAAATAAATTTTAAAAATGTGTGGTTTATCTCTTTAGTTACAGAGATGAATCCCAATGTGGTGGTGATCTCAGTGTTGGCCATCCTCAGCACACTTTTAATTGGACTGCTGCTTGTGACTCTCATTATTCTTAGGAAAAAGCATCTGCAGATGGCTAGGTAAGTTCAGTTGTGTTAATCTTCTATCCGTAATCTTTAAAACAGTTGTACTTATCACCCATGTATGGTTTTTGTAGACCTAAATTTTATAGCAGTAAATTTCATTTCAGTTTTCTGTGTCTATTTCTATTTTATGTATTTTCCAAGTAGACTTTTAAATATTATTTTAGAAAGTATTACCAAAGTATTTACCATCGAAATGGTAAAGTAAAGGACTGTTGTTTACACAAAGCCAAACCTCTTACTAACAGCCCATGCATAGACATCCATCACATTGGGGTGCTTTCAGGCATATCTGGGGTGAAAGAAAGATCTATGCCTATTTGGCATGATTAATAAAAGGATTTAACAAAAACTGGAACACAAGAAAGAACGGGGGGGGGGGTCCCCATTAGTTTTTTCATGGTTTTGCCAGATATTATTTGTTAAATATGTGATTAGGTCTATTAGACATCCTCTGTTAATTTAGTTACTATTCCTCAGAGTGGCAGCCAACTTAATTTTTCTTGTAGTTTGAAAAGCCTTTCAATTTATGACTTAAGTTCTTCTATATGCCACTGATACATTGCTCATCAGAGGACAATCTCAAGTACTTTTTGTGGGATATTTTCAGAACAATTCATCAATTCCCTGAAGAAACTGTTGCTAATTTGAATACTACTGGGTTGGGGAGATTTGGTTCAGATTTATATTTTCCTGATATTAGCCTCTTGAATTGTAAATCAACCTCCTCCGCTTTCTCAGAGTTCCATCAGTCACATATTCATAAATAAATTCATTTGTCCAATGGCAATTTAATCAGTGCCTTCCGTGGCATAAGGAAAAATCAGACATCAGAGATATCCAGTAGGAACATATCTGGAGATGCGTACATGAATAGACCTATTTAAAGGCAGAAGCTGACCTGTACCATAAAGTAGATAAAAATAGGATGCTGTGAACGTGGAAAAGAAAGATTAATTCTGAATGTGCAAATCAGCTTCTTGAAAGTTAGCATTTGAATAAATCTTAGAAGAATCAGGAGGTGGTATTGCACTGTGGCTAGTGGGGGGAATACTCCTTGTGTTCTGAAATGACACTCCTTGAGATCAAATCTTGACTTATAACCTGTGCAGGTCCCAGACACCTTCATACATTTAACAAGTGTTGACACCACACCTGCTGGGTGTCAAACTCCTTCAGGTGCTTGGGATATGGCAGCACACAAAACACAGAGGAATATAGGCCTTCACAGAGCTGGTGATCTAGCAGGGCAAATAGACAGTAATCAATAAATGTGTAAGGAAAGAGATCACCTGGTCTGTTAGCAGGCCATATGAAAACACTGTACAGCTAATTAAGGAAGATGAACAGTACTAATAAAGAGAGATGGGGGTGGCGGGTGAGTTTCACTGAGAGGGTGACATTTGCACAAAGACTTGAGGTCTAAGGGAAGGTAGTCAGGTGCTACCTGCAGGAGTGCCCAGGGAGTGCCCCGTAGTGAGAACGGCCATTGTAAGGCCTCGGGCAGGAGCATGACGACCATACGCAAAGCACAGCAGAGAGATGGGTGGGACGGAGGCAGAGGAGGGAAAAATAGCAGGAGTGGCCACGGTGAGGACGTCACAAGCCATTAGGACTTTAGCTTCTACTCAGTAAAATGGGCAGCCACTACAGGGCTTGGGGAGTAAGATCAACAACAGCTGACTTGTACTTTATCACTGTCATTCTGACATTTACGTAGAAAACAAGCAAGGACAAAGGCTATCACCTGGGGGAGCCGTGAGGGCGCTCCAAGGCAAGATATGGTGGTAGTTCCGTCCAGAGGAGTGGCAGTGAAAGCCGGGAGACGCCGTCAGATTCTGGATATATCTTGAAAACAGGGGCCAGTAGGATTCGCCAACAAATCCGATGTGGACTAGAAATGAATAAAGGCATCAAGGAGGATTCCAGGTTTTTGACTCTAGCAATGGAAAGGATGAGGTTGCCATCCACTGAGAAAGAATTCCGGGTGGAAAGCTTTCAGAGCTGGGAGAACAGCAAGTATTTGTTTTTGGAAAAGTTAAGTATGTGGTGACTGGCAAGTGAGGTGTGCAGGAGACAGCTGAATGGTATTTGGAGGAGAAGTCTTGGCTGAAGACATACATGTGAGAGTTGTTTGTATATTAAGTTCTGCTACAGACTGGTGACGTCTAGGGAGTAAACTTAAGAGACGAGGCCCTGGATTAAGCATTGCAATAATCCAATATTAAGGTTTTCAGGGAGAAAAGAAGACAACACCAGGAGACTGAGAAGAGGTGGCCAGGGGAGCAGAAGGAAAACAGAGTGTGGTTGCCCGTGAAGCCTGGGCAAGAATGAGTATCAAGGGAGCGGATAGGCTGGACGAGGGGGCTCGTGCCATAATCCTGGCACTTTGGGAAGCCGAGAATTTGAGGCCAGCCAAAGGAAGAACAAAGCACTCTTTCTCCAAAAAAGAAAAGAAAAGAAAAGGGAAAGGGAAAAGGAAAAGGAAAGGAAAGGAGACTGGGAAGGGAGGTGTGCAGGAGACAGCTGAATGGTGTTTGGAGGAGACGTCCTGGCTGAAGACACGCATGTGAGACTTGTTTGCATCTTAAGTCTCCTATTTGCATATCAAGTTCTGCTAACACTACAGACTGGTGACGTCTAGGGAGTAAACATAAGAGACGAGGCCCTGGATTAAGCACTGCAATAATCCAATATTAAGGTTTTCAGGGAGAAAAGAAGACAACACCAGGAGACTGAGAAGAAACTTACTGTGCAATAGGAAAGGGAATAGGAAGGAAAATTAGTCAAGTGTGGTCGCCTGCCTGCCTGGAGGCCCAGCTACTACAGAGGCCAAGGCGCGAGAATTGCTTAAACCCAGGAAGCAATCTGAGGTGTCCATGAGCTGTGATTACGCCACTGCACTCTAGCAAAGGTTCTGTCTCAAAAAAAAAAAAATAGAGAGAGAGAGAGACAGAGAGATAATAAAAGCCGCTACAGTAGAGGATAGTGGGTGGTAGGTTCAAACCCAGCCAGGGCCTGCTAAACAAAACAAAACAAAACAAAACTGTATTAAAGGCCAGATTAGATCTCATTATATAAGGCACTGAAGTAGGAAAATGTATTGATGTTATACTATACAACATAATATAATAAATTAGTGTATATTTCAAAAAAAGAAACTTATGCTTAGAATACCCTAAAAGAACAGGCAGATGCCTGAAGTAATTAGCACCTTGTGTCAATATTATCAAAATCTCTGCTTCAGTTCTGAATCTGTCCATCAATTTCATATAGAGAAAAAAATGAGATGTGTGAGTCCCAGTGAGTTATGTAAGGTTAGAGGAATGAGACTATGTTTACCATTTTCTCTGCTTCCAGTAAAAAAAAAATAAAAATAGAACTTTAACAGCATTTTTAATAATTAATATGCAGCATTCTGGATAAGAGGCACGGCAGAAGACAACCTATTTCATTACATGCCACTCTTTTATCTCAAGTAATGAAGAATATGGTCCTCAAAATATGAGAGAAAGATTTTGGAGGAAGTACACAATCCTATTTGATCCACTCTCATTACAGAGACAAAATCAAAATGCTATGAATAAAACCCCACCAAGAACTTTTGGTAAAAATGGAAAATCCCATTTACCTAGGAGAGTGTCCATACCTTACTGTCGAAGGCTTTGTAAAGATATCATATCCCACATAGTTCAAAGTTTTATTTTATGATCATGAACAACCTTTGGAAAGGATGGAATCCTTTGGTCTCAAACAACTTGATTTGCAACCTTGCAAGGCTTTGCTTCATTTTGTTTTATCTTTTTGTTTTGCATTGTATGCAAAAGAGAAATTAATGCTGTGATGATAAGTCAGTAAAGACTCTCTTTACTTATATGTCAGGGCAAAAAATGATGGGTCAGGCAGCAACCTTGATTTTGTGATTCCTTTCAAACAGGGAATGTGGAGCTGGCACCTTTGTCAATTTTGCATCCTTGGAGAGGGATGGAAAGCTTCCGTATAACTGGTAAGTATGGTCTGGAACAAACCTCTTAGTAGCTTAGCTATGCTATGTGCGCTTGAAATTTAACAGCGCTGAATTTTGGGGATGAATTGTTTTGTCTGATTATCCTTGTGTAATTTTATTGACAGTAGTTTTTGATGCCTATATCTTGAGAGAATATCACAGTTTACGTGTAGTATAAGCTTAATTCCAAAACAGAGATGTTGTCCTCTACTTTGTATTAACAATATTAAACAAGGAACCAGAGCAATCGTGCAAGGAGCCTGTTACAGGGCTGCAGGAGGGCTGAAAGGCAGGAGACACACTGAGCAGGTGGGGACTAAAGGCATAGAAGGGACGGCGGTGAAGCAGGGGGAGTCAGAGCAGCATCCCCACTTAAAACTCACCTTTCAGTGCCTGGGGATATGAGCCAACACTTGTGTTCAAAAATTGAGTAGAAGTATACAGCCCAGGGCTCTCAGCTCTCATCCTTACAGTAAATAAATAGCAAACCCCGGAAAGAAAACAGGTCCTTCTTTTTTCTTTATGCCAGAGTGTTAAGAACCCAAAGGGAGGAGGCGTTTTGGAAATTTAAAAAAAAAAAAAATGGTCAAGAGATTAAATTGGTAAATTGGTTGACATTATTCCTTACAATTATACACTAGAATTAACAATTCTATGCAGCTCAATCAATACTCAACAAAATTACTAATTAAGTAAACATTTAACATGGAGTCAGCATCACTTATATAATCTGGCTTATTTCTTTTGCAAGCAAAGTGCATTTAAATATACATATTTCATACAAAGTGATTTGTTTTTCTGTATTCTAATGCCTCAAAAGGGTGAATCTTAAATAAATAGGTATGTGAGACTGGAAATTTTAATCTATAGCATCAGAATGGAAGGAGGGCTTTATTTAAGATATAAATTGTACTTCCTGAAGGGTAGATGACATTCACTCTAGTTGAAAACCAAGTTGAAACAGCCTTTTTTAAAAACAAAACAAAACAGTATGCTGTATCATTTTTAAATTGTAAGTAAAATACAATTACTCCAACTGTGAGGAAGGAGAAACACATAAACTCTCACAGTGAAATGTTAGGAAACATTATTAGACTTGTTCAAATATATCGGTGCTCTTTCCAGAATTAAGTGATTGCCTCCCTCATATTTGTTTCTTGCCTGATACAGCCTTTAAAAAGGGCCAGTCCTGGAGCAATGATGAGCGGCCCAACTAGCAACTGATCTGATCATAGGTTCTAGTGACTCATGAGAGCAATGGGTTAACTAACTCAATCGCCAGTCACAATTTATAGACTTTATGCAAAACCATTTATGGGCGAACTGAGGCAATGGAGAATTTACCTCTGGATCTTTCTATAAAATCAAGCTAATTCTCCTACAGCTGTCGGCAAAGGCAGTTTTACCAGCTCTAGCATTTTCTGGATGACTGAGAATAGATAGTTCCGTGAGGATTTCTACTAACTGAAGTGACAAGGTGACAGTATTTTTTCCTCTACTTCTCAAAATAACTGTAGATGCAGCCACATGATATTTTTAAATCTATATTAATAGATGTTCTACTTGACAAATGATTTGAATATCTAAACTTGGATTCCAGCCAAGCATTTTAAATCAATAGTTTGAATTAGAATTAAAGTGAAATCAAATAGTGTGCTCCCACTGAGCTGAGTAGCAGTGAGATTACAGACTAAGCAGCTAATGGGCTTAGTCTCTGAATGAATGATGCCTGCGTATGAATGAATGATAACTGAGAATGAATGATACCTGATATCATAGTGTACCTGTGTTTAAAGGGTCATTTTTAGAAATTGTTTAGTAATAACAAAGTCACACCTAGGCGTGCAACTTCATAAGAATGTGTTTCAAAAGCTTAGTCTTCATCACAATCAGTATACGTAACCTGACCATTTATATATGCTTCCACAAGCTGCTATTTAGGTATTAAAGGATGTTATAGAAATTTCTTAAAATAGGCTTAAACGTTGGAAGAATGAGATCCAAGAATGAGAGTTGAGATAACTGATGAGGCATTTAAGAGCTTCATTTAACTGAATGTAAAATGTAATCATCTAATAGACTAATTGACACAAAATAGATTGAAAGAAATATATCTGATTATAATAAGTCCATGCATGAATGAAAACTGATTTTTTTCAACCTGATAGCACTTAAGCCTTCACATTTAAATTTCATGGGATGGAATAATATTTAGTTGTAATTAAGGTGCTTGTCATATTAATTGATCCTGGAAGGTAATTTACTGATATCTGTTTACAGTTTATATTACTAACTCTTGCCACTTTTTCATCTTTACATCTGTTATCTATTAATGCTCACAGGCGTAGGAGTATCTTTGCTTTCTTAACCCTGCTACCCTCATGTCTTTGGACTGATTATCTTTTGGCATTTTATATTAATCCTTGGTAAGTGGTTTTTTTTTTTTTTTTACTGTTTACCTAACACAAAGTCTTTCAAAGTTAGCTTTCAAGAAGTAAACCAAAAGGAAACTTTATTTTTAATTATTTTGTATGTTTGGCTGCATTCAAAATTGTTAATTGTGTACTGAAGTGGGTTGAAGTGGTTAATGGTACCAAGATGCTAACTGTAATGTTTCTCGTGTAAATTTTTCTCTTGTGATGTTCTAGGCAAGATTTTCTTTCAATTATTATGAGTCTTTCATTTCTTCATGGAGTCAATCCGTTGTCTTTTCATCTTTGTAAATGACCCTTTCCATTTTCCTTGCCATCTGCATCCATTAGAGGGCACTATATTTCCAAGAAGGTACAAATACATCCATGTTGAGAAACCAGAGTCTACATAGTACTGTTTTTGATAATAATACAGAGTTCTTGTAATAATTCTAACTCAATAATACTGAACAGCTGGCTATGTGCCAGCATCTTTGTTTAATTATCTTCCTTAATTCTCCC